TTCAAGTCAAATATTATTTAAAATAAAGAAAAACAACTTTAAACAAAAAAAATATTAAGAATTAGACTAATATAATGCATGGCTGATGCTCAGGATATAGAGACAAACAAGGTAGTTTCACCAAAATTATTAGCTTTCATGTCTAACCCTAAACAAAGCCCTAAGATAAATGGGCCAACACACACATATTCAAAGTGCTTCAGGAACACAAAGTAGGAAGCATTTGGAAATGTCAGCAACATGAGCTCTTACTCTAAAAAGACTCAGCATTGTGTATTGGTAGTGACATGCACAGTACTTTCTTGGAACTCTACTTATAAGAGTGTTTTCTTCAGTGTCTCTCTTTCTCACTCTCTATGTGAACTTGAACTAATTGTCTCTGTTGTATACTAACTGCAGACCCTCCTTTAATCCCTGACACAGAATCAAGCTCACAGTTTCTACTCTCAACACCTGCTATTACCCTTTCCTTCAAATAGGCCATTTATCCTGACAGTAAGTAAACCTTTCTGGGAAGTATTCCTTGTGGAACTGTAGTTTGTCTTTCAGATTATCTGAAAGATCAAATTTCAAGTTCTTCTTTGATACTAAACATAGGTCTTTTCTTTCTATGAAAAAGCTTAGAATGTACCTTTTTATTTCAGGTGGGAAACACCCTGGAGGGATGACAGTAAGCAACATTTAAATTTATATATAGAAAATGCTTTGAAAACCTCTATCTTTTCATATCAAGTCTGATATAAAGGATAATATTGCTCACGAAATGTTATAAAATGGTCTTTATGTACTTCTAAGTGAGAAAGACATTGGCTACTGGAATAAATAAAACCTTGGTCATTCAAATCCTTGTTTTATTTTTTTTTTTTGCTGTTTTTAAGAAAAAATAATAAAAGAATAGACAAACTTTACCAGCTGAGTAAGTTTTTGTTTCGCTTTTTTGTTTGTTTGTTTTGTTTTATGTGAAACACTATGAGTTCTAGACAAAATAATCACCATCAGTTTGAGGAAGGAGAGATTTTTGTAAAATATATGTAATGGAGTTCCAGATATTAGATGGATTTAAAGTGACACAAAAAGCTATTAACAAAACTGTTTTTTTGTTGAAGACATTCAATAACTAGATTGTCTATAACAGGATTATCTTGTGAGATAAACCCTACATTTGGACTATGGTAAATAGCATGTTTGATAAACTATAGAGGCAAGAGTGTGAGCAGATTGATGTAGAAGGTCAAAATAGAATGTTCTTCTATATTCATAACTGCATATTTGTGTGCTTTCTGTATTACTTAAAATCACCCAATTTGTTTATATACTCACTCTTATTAGCAATTTACTTCAGATTTTACAAGTCTTTAGACTACTTATTTATAAACTGAAAATAATTGTTCCTTCCTCTCTCAGTTTCTCACTAAAAGTTAAATGACATATACTTCTTATCATATTCTGTGAAGTCAGGGATCTCTATGCAGGAGTTTCACACGTAAAAAAAGAATCAGCAATCAATAAAGGAAAAAAATGAACAAATATTCTAATTTCCATGAAAAGTTAATATGAAGTTAATGGATTGAACCGTTAAATGTCAGAAACGGTTGTTACTTTACATCATACACAAAAATAAACTAAAAGTGGATTAAAGACTTGAACATAAGACCTGAAGTCATACAACTCCTAAAAGGAAACAGGTGGTAAACTCCTCAATATTGGTCTTGGTGGTGATTTTTTTTTTTTTTATTTCACACCAAAAGCAAAGGTAGTAAGAGCAAAAATTAAAAATTGGGGCTACCTCAAACTAAAAAGCTTCTGCACAGCAAAGGAAACCATCAAGGAAATGAAAAGAAAACCGACCAAATGGGAAAAATACTTGCAAATTCTGTATGCAATCAGAGGTTAATACCCAAAATATATGAAGAATTCCTACAACTCAATAGCAAAAACAATCTGATTAAAAGATGAGCAGATGGTCTGAATACATATTTTTTCAAAGAAGGTATAAAGATGGCCAACAGACCCATGAAAATGTACTCCCTAATCATCAGTAAAATGCTATCAATTCTACTATGAAATATGATCTCACACCTGTTAGAATGGATATTATAAAAAAGACAAGAAGAAACAAGTATTGGGGAGGTTGTGGAGAAAAGGAAACCCTTGTACTGTTGGTCGGAAAGTGGTGCAGACATTGTGGAAAACAGCACAGAGATGCTTCAAAAAAATTAGAAATAGAACTACTGTATAATCCAGCAGTTTCACTTTTGGGTATTTAACCAAAGGAAGCAAAAACACGAAGTCAAAAAGCTGTATGTACCCCTATGCTCATTGCAGCATTCCTTATATTAGCCAAGACACGAAAGCAGCCTAAGTGTCCATTGATAGATGAATGGATACAAAAAAAAAAGTAGCACACGCACGCGCACACACACACACACACACACACACTCACACACACACACACTCACACACACACACACACACACACACACACACACAGGAATATTATTCAGCCACAAAAAATCAATGTGATTGTGCCATTTGTGACATCATGGGTAGACACTGAGGAGGTCACTATGCTAAGTGAAATAAGTCATATAGAGGAAAACAAAACTGTACCATTTCACTTATATGTGGAACCTAAGAATAATCACAACACCACAACACAGCAACTCATAGATACAGAGAACATTTGAGTGGTCGTCAGGGGCAGGTGGTAGGGGTGGACGATGAACAAAATAGGTGAAGCTGTTCCACAGATATAAACTGCAGGTCATAAAATAAATATAACATACAGCCTGGTAACTAGAACTAATAATAATGTATTATATATTTGAAAGTTGCTAAGAGTACACCATAAAAGTTCTCATCACAAGAAAAAGTTGCAACTGTACGGTAATGGTATTATTTTGACTTATTATGTTGATCATTTGATACATGTATCATCGCTACATTATACACTTAAAACTGATATGTTATATGTCAATTATATATGAAAAAAAAGAATTGAACTTGGTTGAAAGATGTATACTACTAGATGTAAACCCAATTATAAGGCTATAGTATTCAAAACAAAGTGATATATATGTACAACAGAAGACAGAAGTGAAATAGAACAAAGTATCTAGATTTAGATCCACACATATACAGTAATCTAAGTTAAAGCCAAATTACTATTGCCATGAAAGAGGCTGCAAGATAAATGAGGCTTAATCAAGATTTCCATTTAGGAAAAAAAAACATAAAAATTAAATTCTACCCCACATGATACATAAAAAATCAAGTGAGATGGATCATAGACTTAAATGTGAAAGGTCAAACCATAAAATTTTTGGGAGATAACATACAAAAACATCTTCATGACCTTGGAGTATGCGAAGGTTTTTCTTATATAGGACACTAACAGTGAAAAGCACTAACCCTAAAGGAAAAGCTTAGTAAGTTGAACTGCATTAAAATTAAAATCTCATTGCCATTAAAAAAAAATAGAAAATGCAAATGTAAGGAATAGAGTGGAGAAACTTGTTTGCAATACATAAACATGAGGTAGGACTAGCATCCCAGGAGTAAAGAACACCTCCAATAAGAAAAGACAAATAACCATAAAGGTAAACAAAAACACTTCACAAAAGAGGACATGCAAGTTGCCAAGATGCATATAAAAATTACTTCTCAAAGAGGTGCAAATTAACACCTGTGACCTATCACTACATACCCATAAAAATGACTAACAGGCTAAAATGACAATAGCAAGAATGTAGAGAATGCCCATAAAATACTTGGAGAAGCTTAAATTGGCCAAAAGATTTTAAGAAAACTTATATATAGTACCCACTAAATCATTAACTATGATCCATTATTTAAAAAATGTGTAATATATGATGTATACCAAACAGTTGCAAAAACAGTGCCATTAAATTAAACACTTTAACGATATTGATTAGGTTTTAGCATTTAGTGAACACCAAATTGCAAAAATGGTAAAAAAAACGAGAGGAAAATATAATAACAATTAAAAATAATCTACAATATCTGTTAACATCTTAAAATATTTCCTTTAAATTTTTTTTTTTTTCTAATTGGGGAAATACTTCATTATAATGTGGATTTCAATCGTTGGGATCATACTGTCACTTTATACACAGTAACGAATCTGGCTTTCATCATGTTTATACTTTCTAAGAGTATTTTATATGATTGTTATTTTCTTATTTTGGATATTTATAAAACTTAACCCATTTCAAAATATGAATACAAAATGAGTGGAATCGCTACAGTAAAGAGTAGAAACTTTTTTTTTTTTTTAAGTAGACTCTACCCCAGGGTGGAGCCCAATGTAGGGTTTGAACTCAGTACCCTGAAATCAAGACCTGAGCTAAGCTCGAGTCCAACACTCAACTGACTGAGCCACCCAGGCACCTCAAGAGTGAAAACATTTTAAGGCTCTGAGACATTTTACAAAATTACACTTCATTGGTTTGACACTGATTTTTATGCTACCCAGCATTGTATGATAGCATGTTCTCAGAACTCTAACTATAAAAAATACCAAATTGCCAGTTATGTATTTTTATTTACATTATTTTTTATGAGAAATGAGGCTGTACTTTTGCCACCCTTTATAGCTTATTTTCACCTTTTGAGAATGTTCAATGTTCAATTTACTCATTGGTGGTTACTACTGTTTTCTAAGTGACTGGTGAGAGTCCTTTACTAATTATAGATATTCATTTTTCCCATGATATTTCATGTAAGTTTTGTTTCTCAATTTGCTCATCTTTTTACCCTTTTGAATGTAACATCATTGTCGTGGCTTCTTACTGCGTCACCTTAGTTGGGCTGGAAATGGCATTTAAAGCTCCCTGTACCGTATGGCTCTAGAATCGTAAGAGCTACAAAAGAAATTTGCCTGCATTTGGAAGGGGGAGGTGAAGCAGCAGCCACATCTTTTATGCAAAGAAGATTAGTGTAGAATACCATGCCTTGAGGCAGGTCACACCTTTACTCACCTATCTGAAGTCTCACTTTGATGACCTGGGAGCCTTCCTGCGTCTTACTTTCCCAGGACTGCTGAGGGTACAGGTCTATGGTAAAGGCAGCAGCTGCTTTTCCATACTTCCCCTGCAGTAATTGGAGACAACAAAAGAATGATGTTGGTGCCAGTTCATCCTAGTGAGTCCTTATCCTGGGTATTGTATATACCCAGCTGTCCTTTCTGCGGCTGGTCTGATACCTCATGGCCATTTGCAAACAGCTTCGCTCTCAGTATCAGATGCAGAGAAAGAGCGTTGCAAGGAGGCCTCTTCCCATTTCCATAACTGAGTAATTTCTAGTCCTTATATAAAATCCTTTACTCTGGGGCGCCTGGGTGGCGCAGTCGGTTAAGCGTCCGACTTCAGCCAGGTCACGATCTCGCGGTCCGTGAGTTCGAGCCCGGCGTCGGGCTCTGGGCTGATGGCTCAGAGCCTGGAGCCTGTTTCTGATTCTGTGTCTCCCTCTCTCTCTGCCCCTCCCCCGTTCATGCTCTGTCTCTCTCTGTCCCAAAAATAAATAAACGTTGAAAAAAAAAAATAAATAAATAAAATCCCTTACTCTGTATCACTTATGTTGGTCGGCTTATTTAATAAAGAAGAGTCCTAAAGAGTAGCGACCAGCCACATGTGGCTGTTGAGCAACTTGAAACGTAATTAGTTGGAATTGAGACGTTCTCTATAAAATACACACAAGATTTCAAAGGTAGTAAGAAAAAAATTATAAAAATATTTTAGTAATAATTCTTACCTTGACTACATGTTGAAATGATAACATTTAGATATTTTGATTTAAAATAAAATTAAATTAAAATTAAAATTATTAAATAAAATAAAATAAAAATAAAATTAATTTTAAAAAATATTTTTAATGTACCTAGTAAATATTTTAACAGTGCAGAAGTAGCTTGCATTTGTGGTTCCCTTTATATTTCTATTGGACAGTAATATTCCAGAGGAACAGAACCTTAGGAATAAGTTTTCAGAATTGACTCGAAGATATCTGGAATGGGCCTCATACCTAATAAGACTAAAGACATCGATGTTTCTATTTTTTTTTGGTGAAGGGAATACACATAGTCCAAGGAAAGCACAGGTAAATCAGATATTTAATTATTACCTGTAAACATCTGTAGTAAAGGATGTACAGAAGACAAAGCATGGTGAAACTAAGTTGTTAATGATATAGATTATAGTGAAAATAAGGAACATGCTTTATTAAGATGAGTGCTTTCTTCAAAGTGCATTAAAGAATCTAGGAAAAGAAAGGTTCATGCAGGGCTAGAAATTACCAGCCTAAGATCTGGATAAGGGACCAAATGCTTCCATGGCTGCCCCAAAGAAACATCTCCTCTGTAGTGACAGGGCCAAAGCTTCTATAAAACTAACCAAAAGTCTATTTCTGAAGATGGTTGTATTACAATGAAAATTAAATTAAAAAGTTTGGGTTGTGTAATATTAAAGTTAGAGCAGTTATTGAGAAGAAATTAAACCCTGAAAACGGAATTGGCACACCTATGCTTACTTCAGTGTAACTGGAGACATCAAACGCCTAAATTCTGCTGAGCTTCATTTGTCGGTAGAAGAAACCTTTCCTCTCCTGACTGAAGTGATTCTCTCCTTGGATGAAGAATCTTATAAAGATTTGTATTGAATGTATTGTCTTAGGTAGTTGGCCATGACCAGAGAAGTTTGGTTTATTGACCGAAACCTAGAACCAAATATGGCCTATACCAAATGAACTTGAAATACCAGGACACCTTTGGTACAATGTAAGAGAACATATAGGGATACTGGAAATGCTACATTAGGAACACCTACCTTGTCACCAATCACCATGACACAGCACACCATGTCCACCCAGAGGGCCCGGGAGACACTCTACACCATGATGACGAGAAAAGCACTGCAGGGGGAGCAAGAGCATCTTGAAGAGCTCAGTACTGGCTACACACTATAGACCTGGACTTACTGTAGGAATTGCTATCATCAAACTGACCTCCCCAAATACAATGAAGATGAATTACATGGCAGGTATGAAGGACAGTATTTAGTCACCAAAGACAAGGCAAGTAGAGTCACTATACTAAAAAGCGGATCCATGGCATAATAAGGGGAGACCTTTGGTGTTGTCTAGTTGATCATAGTAGAAACTGAATGTGTTGCCATTGCTAATCTCAAGTCATCGAGTGATTTTTGCTTCACAGACAGCAGCTCACCATTATGAATTAGACACTCATCTAATGCATTCTGTAAACTCCAGGACATAAACATCAAGTTCTGTAAGGGTACCAATCAAAGCCCCCTTTCCTACATTTAAAGTAAAAGAAAATTACCCTGTAGGAAGGAGGTAGGAAAATGAACATGTGTATAGTGAGAAGTAAGGGGAGAAATAGATAGAAATAAAAATACCCACAGCTTTCTAAATAATCTCCTTCTAATAGTCCCCTTCTTACCCATGTTATATCCTCAATTTGGAAGACTAAATACCTAGTGAATGTCCATTAAGATCCTTCTTCAGGAAGGGAGGGGCCAAGATTGTGGGGCAGCATGGAAGTTTTTGTTATTGTTGTTGTTGGTTGTTTTGCCTCTCTCATCCTTGAAATGCAGCTAGATCAACACACAACCATCGTGAATACCTAGAAAACTTATTTGAGGATTAAGACAGCAATCTGCACATCTAGAACCACAGAACTCAGCAGGTCACAGAGAGGAGAACCGGGGGAGAAAGAAGCCGTGGAGAGTAGGGAGATGATTTTTCTTGTGGAGAGAGGATGAGTACAGGAAAAGCACTCCTCCTCCCCTCTCCCCACCATGAAAGCAGCTGGAGAGAAAGAGACAGAGTGGAAACAGCTGCAAGGACTGAACAAAAAAGGGAGAAAGGAGAAAGGCCAGGGTTTAAATTCCATTAAGACTCTATAAACAGGGGAGCACAGAGGCTGAAACTCCATAGCTCAATACCTGGAGAGCTCTGGTGGGAAGGGGGAATCCCCAGGAGCAGAGCAGAATGTCCGAGAGGTCTTCAGGCCACATGGAAAGAGGTGGTTCCCCTGCTGGGAGGACATTTGGTAGAGGCTGTGCGGCCTCTACCACAAAGGTCCCAGTGGACCCCAGAAAACAGCCACATTTGCTGGTGGAAGTACAAGGATTTTTAGGATGAAGGCTGGTGCCAGATGTGTGTTTTGATTTACCACAATCCATGAAACGCTGCTGCTAAATGATCATGTGACCTTTTTCTGGGACAGACTGGCACCCGGCTGCAGTCTCTGGGCATCTGCATCAGCACGATCTTATGAATGTTCTTGGGGGAAGGCCAGCACAAGACATTGCTTGGCAAGACCCTCTCCCAGGGGGTCTGAGCGGGTCAAAGCTGTAGGGCCCTCAGAAATGAGGGGTTTGGAAACACAGCCCCATCTAAGATAAAACTTGGGAGGGAGGTGCCACCTGGTAGACTGATAGCTTGGTCAGGGACAGGATAGAAGCGGGGAGTGGACAGAAGCCAGAGGTAAAGGAGGGGTGCTTGCTTTCTGGTCCCAGAGAGCACAGAGTTCTGATACTAGAGACTGGGTAGCTGGGTGACACCATTTTTACCCCTCCCGCACATGCGCATACAACCTACACTCGCGCCACAACTATCCATCCCAGCTCCATCTAGTGGAGAATGCAGTTGTTATACCAAGCCTCCTCACCGCCCCCAAATGGGCTAACTGCTCTAAAGCAACACTGCAAGTCTCTTTGCCTGATTTGTTTGTGGACTATAAAGTGCTTCATAGTTTGACTTCTAGGGGAAACCGTATGTAATTCCAATCATATTTCATTCTGTTTGCTGGTCCATCTATTCTTTTCTTTTTCTTTTTTTTTTCTTATTCTTGAATAGAGGAAGAGAAAAAAATATTTTTATTTTCTTTTTATAAAAAAAGACTTTTTTCTACCATATTTTTACTTTCTTGTAAATTTTTAAAATTCTACCTTACTTTGATCATTTCATTTTATTGTATTTTATCGTATTCATTTTTTTAAGTTTTCAAATGTTTTCCTTTTTTTTCTTTTTCTTTTTGTTTTTTCTTCCCCTCTTTTCTCTATTCTATCAAGCTTCTTTCAACAACCAGACCAAACACACCGGGAACCTAGCATCCTTTATTTGAATTTTTTATGTTGTTTTTAATTTTTTAATTTTAATTTAATTTAATTTTATTTTATTTTATTTTATTAATTATTTTTCTTCCTTCAAAATGTTGAAAAGAAGGAATACACCCCCCAAAAAAAGAAAAGGAAGAAATGACAGCCAGGGACTGTATATGTATCAACATAGATACAAGGCAAGATGTCTGAACCAGAATTGAGAATTGTGATAATAAGACTACTTGACTGGCGTTGAAAAAAGCATAGAATTCCTTTCTGTGGATATGAAAGAAATAAAATCTAGTTGGGATAAAATTAAAAATGCTATAACTGAAATGCAATCTCTAATGAATGCCACGGTAGCAAGGACGGATGAAGCATAACAGCAAATCAGTGATATAAAGGGCAAACTTATGGAGAATAATGAAGCAGAAAATAAAGAGGGAAACTAAGGCAAAAGAGAATGATGTAAGAATTAGAGAACTCAGTGACTCATTAAAAAGAAGTTAACATCTGAATCATACGGGTCCCAGAAGATGAAAGAGAGAAAAAAGGGGTAGAAGGTTAATGTGAGCAAATCATAGTGGAAGTCTTTCCTAACCTGGGGAAAGACAGAGACATCAATATCCAGGAAGCACAGAGAACTCCCATTAGATTCAACAAAAAACAACAATCATCAAGGCATATCATAGTCAAATTCACAAAATACTCAGGCAAGAAAAGAATTATGAAAGCAGCAAGGGAAAAAAAAAGTCCTTAACCTATAAGGGAAGACAGATCAGGTTTGCAGCAGATCTATCCAGAGAAACTTGGCAGGCCAGAACAAAGTGGCAGGATGCTCAATGTGCTGAATCGGAAAAATATGCAGCCAAGACTATCCAGCAAGACTGTCATTTAAAACAGAAGGAGAGATAAAAGGTTTCCCAGACAAACAAAAACTAAAGCAGTTTGTGACCACTAAACCAGCTCTGAGAGAAATTTTAGCAGGGGCTCTCTGAGGGGATAAAAGATGGGAAAAAAAAAAAAAAAAAAAAAAAAAAAAAAAAGACCAAAAGCAACAAAGACTACAAAGGACCAGAGAACACCAACAGAAACTCTAACTCTGCAGGCAACATAATGGCAACAAATTAATAACTTTCAGTACTCACTCTAAACGTCAATGGATAAAACACTTCACTCAAAAGACATAGGTTAACAGAATGGATAAGAAAAGAAGATCTATCTATATGCTGCTTACAAGAGACCCTTTTTAGACCTAAAGACACCTTCAGATTGAAAGTAAGGGGATGGAGAACCATCTATTATGCTAATGGTCGCCAAAAGAAAGCCGGAGTAGTCACACTTATATCAGACAATCTAAGTTTTAAAATAAAGACTGTAACAAGAGATGAAGAAGGACATTATATCAGGATTAAGAGGTCTATCCACCAAGAAGATCTAACAATTGTAAACATTTATGCTCCAAATGTGGAAGACCAAAATACAGAAATCAATTAATGACAAACATACAGAAACAGATTGATAATAATATCATAATAGTAGGGGACTTCAACACCCCACTTACAGCTATGGACAGATCATCTAAACAGAAAATCAACAAGGGAACAAAGGCTTTGAATAACACACTGGAAAGAATGGACTTAACAGATATATTCACAACATTTCATCTAAAGCAGCAGAATACACATTTTTCTCGAGTGCACATGGGACATTCTCCAGAAGAGATCACATAATAGGGCACAAATCAGCCCTTATGTACAAAAAGATCAAGTTCATACTGTGCATACTTTCAGACCACAACGCTATGAAACTCGAAATCAACCACAAGAAAAAATTTGGAAAGATAACAAGTACCTGGAGACTAAAGAACATCCTATTATGGAATGAATGGCTTAACCAAGAAGTTAAAGAAGAAATTAAAAACTACATGGAAGCCAATGAAAATGTTAATACCACAGCCCAAAACCTCTGGGATGCAGCAAAGGCGCTCATAAGAGAGAAGTATACAGCAATCCAGGCCTTTCTAAAGAAGGAAGAAATGTCTCAGATACACAACCTAAACTTACACCTTAATGAGCTGGAAAAAGAACAGCAAATAAAACCAAGACCAGCAGAAGACAGGAAATAATAAGAATTAGAGCAGAAATCAATGTTATCAAAACCAAAAAACAAACAAACAAAAAACAGTAGAACAGATTAATGAAACCAGGAGCTGGTTCTTTGAAAGAGTTAAAAAAATTGATAAACTCCTAGCCAGTTTGATCAAAAACAAAAAGGAAAGGACCCAAATAAGTAAAATCAGGAATGAAAGAAGACAGGACACAACCAATGCAGCAGAAATAAAAACAATAATAAAAGAATATTATGAACAATTATAACCAATAAATTAGTCAATCTGCAAGAAATGGACAAATTTCTAGAAACATAAACTACCAAAACTGAAACAAGAAGAAATAGAAAATTTGAACAGACCCATAACCAGGAAAGAAATCAAGTTAGTAATAAAAAATCTCCCAAAAAACAGGAGTCCAGGGCCAGTTCGCTTTCCAGGGGAATTCTACCAAACATTTAAAGAAGAGTTAACTCCTATTCTTTTGAAGCTCTTTCAAAAAATAGAAATGGAAGGAAAACTTCCAAAGTCATTCTATGAAGCCAGCATTACTTTGATTCCAAAAGCAGACAAAGACCTTACTAAAAAGCAGAACTACAGATCAACTTCCCTCATGAAAATGGATCCAAAAATCCACAAGATGCTAGCCAACCAGATCCAACAATAAATTAAAAGAATTATTCACCACGACAAAGTGGGATTTATACCTTGAATGCAGGGCTGGTTCAATATCTGCAAAACAATCAATGTGATACATCAATAAAAGAAAGGAGAAGAATTACATGATCCTCCTGATAGATGCAGGGAAAGCATTTGACAAAATGTAGCATCCTTTCTTGATCAAAACCCTCAAGAAAGTAGGGATATAAGGATCTTACCTTAAGATCATAAAAGCCACATATGAATGACCCACCACTAATACCATCCTCAATGGGGAAAAAGTGAGAGATTTCCCCCTAAGGTCAGGAACAAGGCAGGGATGTCCACTCTAGCCACTGTTATTCAACATAGTATTGGAAGTCCTAGCCTCAGCTATCAGACAACGCAAGGGAATAGATGGCATCCAAATCGGCAAGGAGGAAGTCAAACTTGCACTCTTCACAGATGACATGATACTCTATATGGAAAACACAAAAGATTCCGCCAAAAAAACTCCTAGAACTGATCCATGATTTAGCAAAGTGGCAAGATATAAAATCAATGCACAGAAATTGGTTGCATTCCTAGACACCAATAATGAAGCAACAGAAGGAAAACTAAGGAATTGATCCTATTTATAATTGCACAAAAACCATTAAAACCATTTGGAGTAAATCTAACCAAAGAGATGAAAAATCTATACACTGAAAACTACAGAAAGCTTATGAAAGAAATGGAAGAAGACACACACATACAAAATAAAATGGAAAATGATTCCATGCTCCTGGACAGGAAGAACAAATATTGTTGAAATGTCAATAGTACCCAAAGCAATCTATCCATTCAATGTAATCCCTATCAAAATAACACCAGCATTCTTCACAGAGCTAGAACAAACAATCCTAAAATTTGTATGGAACCAGAAAAGACCCGAAATAGCCAAATCAATACTGAAAAATAAAACCAAAGATGGAGGCATTACAATCCTGGATTTCAAGATGTATTACACAAAGCTGTAATCACCAAGACAGTATGGTACTGGCACAAAAACAGACACTTAGATTAATGGAACAGAATAGAGAACCCAGAAATGGACCCACAAATGGATGGCCAACTAATCTTTGACAAAGCAGGAGACAATATCCAGTGGAATAAAGACAGTCTCTTCAGCAAACGGTGCTGGGACAATGTACATGTACATGTACAGTGACATGCTGAAAAATGAACCTGGGCCACTTTCTTACACCTTACACAAAAATGAACTCAAAATGGATGAAAGACCTAAACATAATACAGGAAGCCATCAAAATCCTCGAGGAGAAAGGTAAAA